GGCTCAAGTGGTAGAGCGCTAGCCTTGAGTTGAAAGAGCTGAGGGACAGCGCCCAGGCCCAGAGTTCAGGCCCCACAACCGGACCCAAAAAAAAAAAAAAAAGAAGTGTACTCATTATCTTGCCCATGTAATTGTAACTCCTCTGTATGGTATTTTCACAATAAAACAAAATAAAAGCTTATGCTAAATACACAGACCCCCAAAAAATAAAATAAAATACTGTACAATTTTTTAAATAATTTATCTGTGAATGCATAACTAAATAAAATGTTGGACAGCCAGACAGAGGAATATTGTTGGACCATCAAAAGGAATTAGAAATAACACAGATGAACCAGTGGAAAAAAAAATCAGTCGAAAAATGTAAACCTTGCAAGGTCTCAGGGAAATCCAGATATGCAGAGACGCTTGGAAACCATTAACATATTACAAAGTCGAATTGCTCAGAATCCTGGGACTGAACCCCTCTAACAATCTATAGCACTGTGATTTTGGAGACTGTTATCTCTTCTCTCTAAACAGTTTTGTTTGTAAACTGTTAATACCACCACTAGATAGAAAGACACATGGGAAGGCTCATTAATTGGTAATGTTTTGTCCATTCTACACACATTGAAGGTGTCTTGTGCTTATAGTACACAAAAAATAACATAATTACTATTTAACTCCAAAGACAAGATATTTCGTTGGTCATTAAACTTATAAAAATTACATGACCATTGTTAATTCAACTCAAAACAAGAAAGTAACCAAAACATCTTCCTAATATTTGAGGTGATATGCATGGTAATATGCAAAGTGAGATAATGTCAATATTTTATATTCTACACTGCACAATATATTCATTTATACCTTTCTCCTCTTCTGCAAATACATAAACTTCATGAAGAAAGCAAAAAATGGGCACAAAATAACCATAAAGACCACTAACTTAAGTAATGCATGGGTATTTAACGTTTTAAATTGCGACAAACCCAAGAACTATATACAAAAGTACAAATTTTTAAACATCAACCAGGACATTGGGGAAGGGGTCCTGGACGGCATACTGGCTGAGATGGAAGAACCTCACCAGACTCCAAAGGTACTGGAGAGGCACGAAGGGAGAGGGCGCGGGCCTAAGTCACTTTGGAAAACAGACTAAGGAAGGCTAAAAATGACAAGTCGTGCACTTCAACACTGCATGGAGTTCACAGCTCACTCCTCCCAGAGAATGCTTAGCACAGACTGGCAGTTCTCAAACTATATGCATGCTAGGATTGAACAACCAAGCAACAGGAGCCAGACTTCTCACTGTAAGAGAAAAGAGCTACAAATAGGAGTGGTGGTGCTGGATGAGAGGCAGAGGTGGCGTACTATCTCCTGCTCATCACAGCAGGGGTAAAGCAATCACAGCCTATATGACATCCCTGTATTTCTAACTCCATCGCAGAGAAAGTCTAGAAGCAATGGCATCCCGACCGCAACAAAGATGCCAGTGCTCACTTCTTCAGGTCCAAGCACCAGCTCCAGAAGGAACCAGAGCTCCTTGGAGACATGTCCAGTCCTAGGACTGAAACAGCACAGAAACAGGGCTAGGCCGAAGCACCCTGTGGTGCCTAAAAGTAAGACACCACTGGAAATGCAAAACAACCCAAAAGGGGCTTTAGTAGCATGTGAAAGGACACAGAGCCCCAAAATGCCTGCAGGCACAAAATAAATAGTAGCACCACATTACAACCCAAAGCAAATAAACAGGGGCAACCTGGGAGGCAGAATTTCAAATAATGTCTGTGCATTCTACCCCTAGCCCCAGAGCAGAGATTCACTGCCTTCCCACTGGGGGCTGTCGCTGGTGACTCGCTTGCAAAGAAGAGTATGGAAATGGGAAAGTGGGAAGAGAAACCTGGCAGGTAACACCCTAACTAAGCAATCAAGGGTAACAGGCAGGGCGACAGGCCCACCTCCCCAGTCATCCTGAGAAAACATCAAACAAGTTGAAATGCACAGACACCATCATTACTGCAATGGATACCCCAACTCCACCCTAGGACAAGAGGGAATTAACAGTTCAGTGAACTACACTTCTTACTGATGCTAATATTTTAATTTTGATAAACATGTAGTAAGTCAAAAAGTCAGTATAGTATCGAAGCTGGGCACTGATAGTTCACACCTCTATGCCTATCTACTAAGAGACTGACATCTGAGAATAGTGGTTTGAAGCCAGTCCAGGCAGAGGAGCCTATGGTGAGACTCTCATCTCCAAATAGAACTACAAGCCAGGTGTAGCTCAGTCACCTATGGGAAGATCCTACAAACAACCACAGGCCGAGCTGATTCCGGCTCACTTCTGAGGAAGGTCGGAGGCCACTGCCCAGGGGCTGTCTAGGGAGATGACCACTGGAGGGCAGCAGACCCCTCCCCAGACCACAGGGGGACAGTCATCCCTCACGCCTGAGGTTAACAATGCTCACCAGGTGAGGGTTACAGGAAGGGGAGAGAACTAAGTAGGGCCGGCCTGTGAGCTCCCGGGAGGCTCCGTGGAAGAGAGCAGAAGACAAAGGGGAAGCAAAAAGGAGACCTGAGGGGGCCTGGGTCCACACAAAGAGGAAAGCACGGCTTGCTTTTCCCTCTTACATTGTCCAGTTGGCCATCTTCATTTAATTACATAGATTAAATAAGTTATTCAATAGTCTGAAATTCTTTCAATTGAAACACTGTATCTTCAAGATCCCTAGCAAGTGCCTCACAAGAGAATTTGGGGAACTAATCTACCTATTAATTTAGAGGCTATCCACCTAACTAGAAATGTGTGCTGGGAGTCAGTTCAGAGAACCGTGGGAACTAAACGGTCACAATTTTGGACAGTCCATTAAGCCTATGTATGATGTTATTTAAACAAATTCCACAGATTTTTTTTTTTGAGCTCTTCAGCTCAAAGCTAGCGCTCTACCACTTGAGCCACAGCGCCACTTCCGGTTTTTTTTTTATGTGGTGCTGAGGAATCGAACCCAGGGCCTCATGTATGCAAGGTAAGCGCTCTACCACTGAGCCACCTTCCCAGCCCCCCAGAGATTTTTTTTTTAACAACACTAGTTGTCATTTTTTAGATTCTGAAATTTAACAAAATTTTACAGGATAATTATTTTGTAAAGCGTGTTTACAAATGAAAGGTGATTATGTTATTTGTAAACATATGCTACAAGGAATAAGGAATAAAAATATGAAGACACAGCTATGAAAAGGATAAAGTGCCACAAACGTATTTCTTTCTTCCTATAAAATCCTTCAGCTACATCCACTACTATCATCACAGAAACCATAAAGAGTCCAAATTAGGAAGTATATTAATGTGCAACCTGTGATATTGGTTGTTCCACTATTTCCAACAATTAAAAATATACACAAAAGGGCTGGGAAGGTGGCTCAGTGGTAGAGCGCTTGCCTTGCATGCCTGAGGCCCTAGGCTCGATTCCTCAGCACCACATAAGAAAAAAGCCGGAAGTGGCGCTGTGGGGCTCCAATAGTAGAGTGCAACCTTGAGGAAAAAGCTGAGGCAATATCTTGATGGAAGTAAACAACTCTACACAAAATTCAAGTTACATTACTATTTGGGATATAAGCCAACTAGTGTTTGCTATACTAATTTTTGAGACCCACGTTATAATAAAATATTATTACAGTGATTCATACGCTAAAAGGCGGGGAAAGTCCATTTTCTATTTAAAAAAATCAAAATCATTCCAAGTTAAAATACTGCGTAGCAAAATGTTAAATGACAAATATGTGTATAAATATGTATGTGGCTGCAGAAATTTCAAATTGCCAACTAATACAGGTATGTAGGATCTCACTGAATTGTGCACTTCTGCTGCAGCCAAATGAACATGAAAGCAAAAATACTACTTTGGACTCTCAAGAATAATATCCCAGAAAGTGGTGCTGTAGCTCAAGTGATAGAGCACTAGCCTTGAGCTGAAAAACTGAGGGACAGCGCCCAAGCCCAGAGTTCAGGCCCCATGACCAAAAAAAAGAAGAAAAAAAAAGAATTAAATTTTAAAAAAAAAGAATAATGTCCCATACAACTTTGCCACACTTTCCCACCGCCTGCAGCAGTTGACAAACTTCTGAGGTGGCAAGGCTTCAAGCAACTTTCTCTAGGGAACACATTCCTCTCGCAAAAATCTCCACACACCAGGAACATGTATTTAACACAATCAAGGGTTTCCTTAGATGTTTATCTACACTCAACACTCAAATAGTGTATACTATTTTCCTTTGATCCTCTTCACATTTTTCTACAAGTTGCATCTGTCTAAAACCCAGTCACCAAAACTGGCCTGGCTACTTACTTCAAAAAACAGGAAAAGCTGGAGATGTTGCTCAGTGGAACAGACTTGCTGGCACACACAGGGCCCTGGATTCCACCCCAGCCCACCAAACAAATGAATAAGCAAAATACAGAGAAAAGACCATATCCATGATCCTGGATGCTCATTAAAAAAAAAAAAAAAAACACTTTTTCACTGACTTGTTTGTAGTTGTGTTCACCCATGATGTGGCTTTATTCTCCCTCTAGTTATACAGAGTCTGTCATTCACCACCCTTTATTTACATGGTTAGACATTTCCCCACAACACACGGTCTTGAACTTAATTCACTGAATTTAATGTGATTTTCACAGATTCATGCATCATAGTACTTTACAGAAATAAGCAATGTTTAATCGTTTCTGTTTATGTCTTAAAAATCCTAGGACTGTGGAAGTGCGTAATAGCAGCGCAGCCCACGTACATCGCTCTGATGAGGACATGGACGGCACTGACACCTACCTCCACTGGGCGATCACACTTCACCAGGGCTACCCGCGCCCTCTGCAGGGAGCCATCCATCAGCTTGTGAAGTCTTAGGATTAACTTTCTTAACCCCATCTGCTTCAGTGCTTTGTCTACAAAGGGTCTATAAATAGAAGTCAAACAATGCCTGTCGAAGCCTGCTTCGGTGCCGCTGTCGGCCGCTCCCCAGCCCACAGATTCCTCCTCAGGTTCCAGCCTCTCCAGCTTCCTGGCTCCAAACTCCTGTGGCGGGATATCAAAGCTGTTCCCCACAGACAGCCTGGGTTCTGGAACCCTGGACTCAGGGGCTCGGTCTTCCTCACTCTCGTCTGTACTGCCATCCAGCTCCTTCAACTCTCCCTCGGGGTCATCACCCTCATCTTCTGGCTCATTTCCTTTGGATGGTCGAGGGGAAGGAATTTCAAACACTGGCCAGCCAATGTCTGATAAGTTCTTGATGCCCAAAACAGTGCCCATAATCCTTAACTTCTGATTTAGGTCCTTCGTGATGTTTAACCACAAGCAGAGTGCCTGCACTCTGTCTTGGAAGTCTTTTGCAGCATATTTTTCGTAGTCCTTCTGGAGAGCCTGCAATGATGGATAAAGTGCTTCTATGTACTCTAGCAGCTCCATTATCCGTTTCACCTGCTCAAATGACACCCTCTGGCGTTGGAGATGCTCGTGATACATTGAGTAACCCACCACACTCTTTGCTCCATGTGGGGCTCTGCACTGCCCTTCTACTGAAGTACCATTGAAACTTGCTCCATTTCTAATGAAGGCAACACTCCCATAATTAACTTTGAACGTAAGGATTTCGTTGATAATATCTGGGATGGCTTGGCGGGCAGTATATAAAAAGAGGTCCTGGTCATTGATGGTCCGTCCTGCATGCCAAGCCTGTAGCTCTAACCAGATGAGTTCATTTGATCTGTTAAACCAGAAAGCAGACGTATTTTCCTGTCCTCTTTGCTCCCTGTCCTTCTTCTTTGAGACTGAGGTAAGCTTTAGCAAAAGCCGCAAAGTTTCAAAAAACTTTAAACGATCTGCAGGACAGTCAGTCCTGGAAGTCTGCCGTGTAGTTCTGGCTATCGGCATGGGCACAGAGACTGGAAGCTTAGCATTGCTGCAGCCAAGGCTGAGGTAAGGCTTATTAAGATCCACGTCGGGAATTGACTTTTTTGGCAAAGACCCACCCACTGAGTCTAACATGAATGAGCACTGTACGTTTTTCTTGTGATCCCGCTCTGTTGTTCTAAGAGTTGCTCGGATCTTTTTCTCCTGCTTATAGCTGTATTCTTCCACATTCTCCACTGCTTTTCCAGTGTCTTTATGGGGAGGCTGATTTGGTGTATTCATTTTTTCTATTGAAAAAAATAACAGAATATTATGTCACTCTGAAATATGAAGTTACTCAATATTTTAAATTAAGCTGATTCTCATGTACTTCCATTTTCATCTGTTGTTATGGCAGAAAAAAACTACAAGATGCTGAAGAGTCCAAGATTCAAAATATAAACATAATATTTCTCTCTAATTTTTTTTTTTTTGTCGGCCATGGGGCTTGAACTCTGGGCCTGGGCGCTGTCCCTCAGCTCTTCAGCTCAAGGCGAGCGCTCTACCACTTGAGCTACAGTGCCACTTCCGGTTTTCTGGTGGTTTATTGGAGATAGGAGTCTCATGGTCTCTCCTGCCCGGGCTGGCTTTGAACTGTGATCCTCAGATCTCAGCCTCCTGAGTAGCTAGGGTTACAGGCGTGAGCCACCAGCGCCCGGCCTCTCTCTAATTTTTAAAAGTTTATTCTTTGCTATATTGTATTTATATTTATAACTACTAGCCTAACTACCTGCTTATTTCTACACTGAAAATGCAATTAGCAAACCATTTACTCAGATCTCCAAAGCAATCACTATCTACCCAGGGTAAAACCATGAGAGGACACCTAACACAAGGCTGGGCTCAAATCATCCAGTCCTACCTATGTGAACTTAAATATGTGAACTTAAACAGCAAATCACTTACCTTTTCTGGGCATTCCTCTCATTGGTTAAGTGATGTTTTAAAATCTTTAAGGATTCTTCTTTAAATAGCAGTATTTGGAAAGCAAAAATGACAGGTATTTCCAAATTTTGCTCCATTGAATTTTATATTTTGGAATATCAACTCAAACTATGGTTTGTTATTAAGAAACACAGATGACATACGCACTGTATGGTTTCCAGAACTCTGAATGTGAGGTGCCACGAGGCAACCACACAGCTCCGTGTAGATAACTAAAATGCAGTCATGGCTCAGAAAAGAAATCCAGAGACCTGAGTGTGGAAACCATAGCATCGACACTGTTGAAGAGCAGACACACAGTAAACATATGAGATAAGGATAACAGGGAAAGGATGCAGAAAAGACGCAGTGAGGACCAACAACAGAATGCTGTGGTAAACAGTATCTGTATCCTAATAGGTAGGGAAAAGGAATGATTTTGTTAAGGGTTAGGATAATCTTCATAATATTAATGATAATGATCACAGAATCTCTACACATAATTTATAATTCAAAAGTAACAGTGGAAGGCTATTTCTTTGCTTGTATTATTTATTTGTATTCCCCTAGGATTTAAAGGTCCTAAAAGGAAACAAAGAACTCACTGAGAATAGCTATGATGACTTTCAAAACCCCAGAAGACAAGTTATAAACATGTCCATGTCTATACCCCACTGTTCTACAGACACAATCTCATTTCAGCAGGCCGTACTTCATATGCATGAATCTTGTTACGCCTGCTTACCTCATAACATATAAAAATGTACGTACTGAACCATTATTTGAAATTCAGCCTATTCACAAAAGCAGTAATTTAATATTGGATCCACAGTGTGTGTAAGGAAAAAGCAAGCTCAGAAAGGGGCAAGGTGGGATAAAAAGGCCCCCAATTCAAAACAGTCAAGCTTGTTTGGGGAGAAAAATATGCCAAGGAAAATCCACATATCTAACGTTTAAACAGTGATGAAATTCCAAGTTAAAACAGACTAGCCACTACTACCATTAGTGGTAGTTAGACTGAGGGTTAGTCAAACTTGTCGGCTTCAGCAGTAACTATACTTTTAAAATATGTTTTTAACAGTGTTAGTAAACACAGAGTGCTTCCAAGCAACTGATGACCAGCTCTAGAGCTCTATGAAATCATAAGGGACCTATCAGTGAAGACCAGCTGGGAAGAATATTGGAGTTGGGCAGAAATCAGAGGCTCAGGCACAGAAGCTGCCCCAAGCAGTGTGCATTTGGTCTTGAGACACGCTGGCATCACTGACAAACTTCTTAATGACTCCAAGGCCCATGCCTAGAGGGCAGCTGTGTTGAGTTTTTCTGTTCATACCAAAATCTCCCTACAAATTCACAAAACATCAAGTGTAAAGAGTTTCTGAAAAGAAAAATGATCCAAAGCAAAGGACGTAAAAGACACAGAAATGTTTTATATTGCGAGTTTTAATTACAAGGCCACAAAACTAGCTCATTGCAACCTAAGATTAATAAACACCTGTTCTCCCACATGGCTATAAAAATTAAATGTGATTTGCTTAGCACAATAAAAGCAAACAGCAGGAACAGTTTTTCCTTCTATCACCACTAATTCCTAAAGAATCAGAAGAACATGAAAAAATTTTAAAGTTTATCATTAGACTGAAAGCAGCCAATGATGAGTGATACAGTCCATGTTCAAACAGAATCAACCAAATTCCCACATCCACACCTACAGTAAGTGTAAAATGTAAATTTTTTATCAAGTCCTGATAATATGCTCTTCCACACTTGCATTGCCTGAAATTATTCAAGCTGTCAAGTGAGAAAGGACAAACTGGTACACAATGTGTACTTATAGTTTGACCACTAGACCAAGGATGCCTTAGAATAAATAATATCAAAGGACATTAGCAATCTGAAGGGGCCTAGGGATCTATAACTTGAGGTTCTCATATTCCCACTAATGTATACCTTTCTACATGACTAGAAGGTGCACCTTTGGGGAGACACAGCTTTATCCCATCCCATCCTTTCCAGGAGGTAAGAACTTGCTGTGGTACCCATCACAACACTACAATAATACATACCAGAGAGAGTATCACCATTAGAGGTAAATGTTAAGAGCAGGGATCCTAACTCCTAGCATGGTGTCATCCCTCATCCTTACACCTGTCAAAGTTGCTCACAAATCTGCACTGACCGAACACATAAAGGCTAAGACACCAGATGCCACTAAAGATGAATTCTTGCGGGTTAACTGCCTTCAAGAATAGATTCTACCTAAACAAGGGTAACAACAGGACAAAAGTATATTTCAAACCAAAAAAAGTATGAAAGGGTTCAAAGGCAATAAAAAAAAAAAGTGTGGTTAGAACAGTGAATCTGTGTATGGATAGCCTAAGAACATAAATGAGAATCTTGAGAAATATGTACATTGGCAGGAATTTGAAAACCTCAAGTTACAGATCTCTAAACCCCTTCAGACTGTTAACGCCCTTTGATATTATTTATTCTAAGACATCCTTGGTCAAGTTGTCAGACTACAACTGAAGGCTGAGCCTGGACTACAGAGCTGAAGAATGGACTTAAATCCATTCTCTCTAGATATAAAGACTGAATCTTTCTTGTACTATTATTACCAGTTCAATATTATATCAGTAAATTATATTCTTAAAAAACAAAATGCTAATCTTACTATTTTTCTTTGTTTGTTGGTAACGGGGCTTGAACTCCAGGTCTGGGCACTGTCCCTCAGCTTTTCACCTCAAGGCTAGTGCTCTACCACTTGAGCCACAGCGCCACTTCCAGCTTTTTCTGTTTATGTGGTGCTGAGGAATCGAACCCAGGGCCTCGTGCATGCAAGGCAAGCACTTTACCACTGAGCCACCTTCCCAGCCCCTAATCTTACCATTAACAAAACACACATACAAATACACCCACACACCTTGAGATACCTGCTAACAGAGTGATTCATGCATGTATACATATGCGTAAACCAACTCTCATATAATGTCAAGATACCAATTCTATTTGTAAGTCAGCCAGAGTAGTGTTACAATACATCTGGAAAAGATGCTTATGAGGCAAATGCACAAGACAAAAGGGTTTGGGTTAGCTATCTTTCGATTCCTATTTAACCCACTTAAACCATGCGCCTGAGGCAGGGCAGACCGTGGGAAGCTGGATGCAGGAGTTCCGGTGGGTATTAAGGTAGGAAAGCACACAGGCAGGACTCTTTACTTTAGGCTTCACACTCCCGCACCAAGCTGCAACACACAATGAAAAAAACATACCTCGTGTCTCTCCCTCTGACTTCGCCCACTGCCCAGATGATGACTATGCACGGGCACTGAGCCAGGATGTCTTAAAAGAAAGATACTTAACCTGAGGTGGTAGGCACATTTGGCAACATGACTCCTTTGACAGAAGTGTTTGCAAAGAGGGAAATATTTGTCTTAAGGAAGGACATCTGACCTAAAAGGAGCATCTGAGAAGCCTACTCTTTATTTCAACGTTGTGCTCTAGGAAAACAGAGTATGTCACAATGGCCCAAATTTAGTAAAGTGACCAGACTTGATATCACTGGGCCTAGCTGACAAGGTCAAAACAGTGCAACAGCAAGAGACACTGAAGGTATCAGGTGTCCAGGACAAAGGGGAGCACCACCCTAGGGCCAACTTAAGCCAAACCTCTAGCCCATTTTTCTACTATAAATACTCCTGATGTTACAACACTACCCACTTCCCAGCTGTGTCCATACCCATGTGTGGGTTGTGTACCATCCTTTCTTTGCTTTCTTATACTGATGAACTTCCTTGGTCTCTATATCTCAATGTGTCCCAAAATTCTTCCTCATGACAACAAACCCATGAAGCCAGGTAAAGGCTTCCTCCCTTCTAGAGACCTCTCTGAAGCCTCACAGGTTCCAGTATCAAGATGAAAGAAAGAAAACAGAAATTTAAGGATAAAATGGTTTGGCTGTGTTTTTCTTCAATCAACCTTAAGAAGAAACAATAGTATTTGGTGACTTACTTTTCAAAACTTACCAAATCTTAATTGATCAAATCTGGTCATGACTTATTACTATTAAAGTATAAGTTCACATAACATCACAATACAATTCTGCCACTCATTCAAGAATGGAATCAAGCCAGATGACAGTGGCTCACGCCTGTAATCCTAGCTACTTAGGAAGTTGAGATCTGAGGATTGAGGTTCAAAGCCAGCCTGGGCACGAAAGTCCATGAGACTCTAATCTCCAATAAACCACTCAGAAAATCAGAAGTGGCACTGTGGCTCAAGTGATAGAACACCAGCCTTGAGGTGAAGAGCTGAGGGACAGCAC